GTGACTGAGGAGGATTTTTGCAGTTAAAACACATCAAGCTCCCAGGCTGCCAAGGGGAAGGATGACAATTCAGTTAGACATATCAAAGAGAAAATCTCGCAATGCTGTAGGGAATGCTATCTTCAATGAAGTGAAATAGATTTTTTAAAGGGAATTGCATTTGATGCCAAATGTAGGACAAGTACACCAGAGAAAGGGGACCAGAATGGTCAAGTCTGAAGAGTCTGGCATACGAAGCCAGAGGAAGGACCTAGCGATGTTTAAACCAAAATAAACAAGACCTGGGGGTGACACATGTCTGTCTTGTTGTGGAGGCTTCATAAAAATACTTGTAGGTCCTTTGGCCAACCTAAGAGAAGTTGATGTCTGTTGTTCTTGCCTGTCCAACAACCCCACTGCTATTCTCCAGTGCCATATGTTGTGGTAAAGCCCACAGACATGGGTCCTCATCTCTACCCAGCAACCAGCTGTGTTATCCCCACACCACAATGATTGGTTAAGGGAAGAGTGTGTGACTCAAGCAAAGCCAACCGAAGTTCTTCCATAAGAAATGGCATTTCGGTTTCTCCTCCTGTGGACTCAGACTTAAGGATGCTTTAAGACTCACATTGACTGAGGCTATTTTTCTGAACTCAGCGTGAAAAGGAATCCAACAGGAAAACAGGACAGAAACAAATAAGGAATATATAAAGACAGAAACAGACGTAGAGACAGAGAGGAACCACAGACAGAAAGAGAATGAAAGGCAGAAATAAAGAGGAGAGGGAGACTGAGACAGAGGGAGAGAGCTAGACTGCATAGCATTGTTCAAATCCTCCAGAGAGCCATGTCCGAAGCCAGACTTTTGAGATAATTGAGCCAATCAATTTATGTTATGTCCCATGGTGCTGAAAAAAGACCCTATTTATCATCTGGTAAGCAAGTTGGTAAGAACTCTATAGTCAAGCATTTCATTTGGGTACATACAGGGAAAGCCCTCTTCAAAGGTTAATTTAAAACATAAGTGCATTTGGGTAAGCTAAAAATATATTCACATAACAAATCTGCTTAATGGATATAAAATAATTGGAATTTAGAGGGAGCGATACTTAACAGTAGTTACCTCTTGGGAGTATAGCTATAAAGGTAGGGAGGAAATTGGGGACATTTTTGTGTATTACTTGTGAAATGATGACATGTTTATAATGTTCAGGTAGTACGTGTTTTTTTAAAACTATGGTGATTAGAAAAGAGATTGTTGAAACAGATCAAACACAAGGTTGTGGAGATGGCTGTGAATGTCGGAGGGAGGAAGAATCTGCTAACGGGAGAGTGGAGGCTCCCAACGGGAAGAATCTAGGGCATTCTATGAGAAAGCAGAGAGATGCACTGGCTGAAGGTTTCTACATTCCAGTGGTGCTCTGACTTCAAAGGGAACTCCTAACACCGAACTCAGAACGTTCTCGGCCAGTTGAGGAATGTGCTGGCCCAGGAGTACTTTCAGCTAAAAGGTTCCGGTGGATACTCTTGCATTCCAGAAGTGTTAACTTCTAGCAAAGGGAAAAACGAAAGCTTAAAACATATTATTTCCAAAATCAGTAAAAGGGAAGTTTTCCAATACCAATCCAATTGACCATCCAGTCTAGCCAGCTCCACCCACAGTAGCACCTATATAACCATCATTGATGGTTTGGTGTACTCCCCCCACTCACTCATGCATACCCAGATACAAACATCTATATATTTAGTTTAGAAAAGTGGAATTATTATAAACAATAAAGTCTGAAACTTGCTTTTTTTTCTTCATATAACTCACCAGGGATATCTTTCTAAGACAATACCCAAAGCTATTCCTCATGATTTTTAATGGTGGTGTTATAGTATTCCACTTTTAAAACCAGTGCTCTGTTATAGATACTTGGTTGGTTTTCATTCACCACAGAAACTTAGATTTAAAATAATCAATGGTATTTTATGCTTTAGTGCAGTTCTGACCTCTCATGACCTGTATTATAGGATGCATGGATTTTAATTATGCTTTGTAAATTATTTTTAATGAGGCAATAAGCTTTCATTAATAGGATTCAATTCTCACCCAGCCGGTGTGGCTGTGGTTGAGCATCAACCTATGAACCAGGAGGTCATAGTTTGATTCCTGGTCAGGGCACATGCCAGGGGTGCAGGCTTGATCCCCAGTGTGGGGCATGCAGGAGGCAGCCAATCAATGATTCTCCCTCATCATTGATGCTTCCATCTCCCTCTCCCTTCCTCTCTGAAATCAATAAAAAATAAATAAAAATAAGAAATAAAAATGTAGGATTCAATTCTCAAAGCACCTGGAAGCATAGTGGATAGAGAATGGGAGTTGGGGAAATGTATTTCATAATGTTTTGCTTTGATCTAGGGGTCTGCCATCTGGGTGAAATTGGGATTCATAGTGAGCGTTCTTGCTCGAGAGACACTACCCTTTCTGAGTCATCCCTGCAGATTCTCAGCAGCTCTAGAGAGCACAAGCATCATGCCAGGAGTCACATGACCAGCGATGACATCGCACCTCACTGAGACACTCACTCTGTGCTCTGCCCCAGCCTAGGCAAGCCCAACTGTCATGGGAGGGACACAGCAAAAACAGAAGCCAGATGATAAACAAAATCATACTCTTCCAGGATAACTTGTTGCCCTATGATGTCCAGAACCAACCTTCCAGCCCAAAGAAAATATCACTCTTGGAACAGGGAGACACCTGGCCCGTGGCCCAGGCTCCCAGAGGAAAACCAAACCATCTGATTCTATTTTACTTACGGAGTTGGGTTTCTGATGTATACTATCAGAGAAGGAAATGTAATTATTGGCAGCATTCTTCTCAAAGAGAATGTGCTGTACACTCCGATTGTTCAATAGTGTTTACGAAACACCTTAATCAGTATTGATGTGATTATTGCTTAACTGTCAACTTCCCCCAGTAAAAGGTAAGTTCCCTGAGGGCAGGGGCCTTATCATTATTCATATGCATGTGTTTTCTCTCACTGATGGAGACAGAGATATTTAAGAAAAAAAAATTTTTTTTATTATAATTGTGGTTTTAATCATAATTGCCTTAAGTTCTCAAAGGAGAATGTGTTTTGTGGGGTCAGAGAGGCCTTCTGCAATAAAGAGAGGACCGAGCTAAAATCTGAAAGGCATGCAGGAGAGGAGGGGGCAAAGGAACTTTCCAGGCAGAGGGAGGAGCCAAGGTCCTGCGATGGCTGAGCATGGAGCACTGGAAAGAGAGAAAGGCCAAGATAAGAGAAATAAGGTTGCCTTGATCCCTCAGCTTTGCCTTCTCCAAGTTCCTATAACACTTGCGGTCTCACTGCTCATTTGAGTAATGATTACATGCAGGATACCCTGGAGGATTTCCATATATTGTCTAGTTCCTTACATTTTATTATTCTAATGTGAACTTTCATCCAGTATATACTGGTTGTCTTAAAAAGTCTTTCATGTACTAAAGTCAGACTGTTATAAAAAAGCTAATTCAGATAAATTTCAACTATGGCACAGCATGGGTCTGGCTTTCAACCAACAATTCAGCTTTATCAATGTCATCATGCCTAGTTATAGAGTGGAATCTCATTATACATACATTTAACTTAAGCACATTCAACTCTAAGTTCTTGGCAGAGAGAGGGAGAGAGACAATGTATATAACGTAGGCCATTATACCTCCCATTCCAATCAAGGAGCAGCTGTCCCACGGATAGGATATGAATCTGCTGAATCGCCCGCCCCCCCCGCCCCCCGCCCCCCTGGGCTCTGTCCCCA